ACAGTTAGCTCAAGGCCAGCCTGAACTACATAGTGAGAGCCTGTCTCAAAGAAAGAGAGAAAGAGAGAAAGAGAGGCCAAGTTATGTTCAGGAAGCTTGACTGCATGTACATCTATTTGTCTGTCCTTCCATATAGTGGAAGTTAAGAGAGAGGTTAGCAGTTAGGGGGCCCTAAAAATTAAAGAAAACCAATCCACTAGCAAATTGTGGAGAAGAACGTTAGCTGCAGTAAATATGATTACTTTTCAATGCTTTTTAGGTAGAATGTGAAATTATTGAAAATATTTTCTGATGGTCTTTTGCACATTTGTACTTTTTATTCTTGGCCTTCTTAGAGTAAGAATTTATAATGGATTAGAATCTGGCAAGGAAAATGGAGTCTTCATTGTGCTTTGTCTAAAAAATTATTTCACTCCAGATTTTCCCTAAAATGCTTCTCCTGGACTGTAGCTCCAGTGCGCAAGCCAGGCTTTTTCTCTCTTGTGCCTAGAAATTCCCTTCACACAGGCCAGTTAGTTTTCTTTTGCACATTTCCATTGCTGACCAGAATCTTTTCGCTGCCACATGCGTATCTCTCCCCTAGCCTTGGAAACTATGAAGAGCTTTTGATGTGATAGCTCTTTTTCTTCCACTTCGCCTTCTTTTGTGTGTTTTCCTCTTTTCTTTGCATTACCCTTCAATATCTGTAAGAAGATATATCTCGGATGATCATTGAAATGGCACAGTTTCCAGGGGTGCTCAGCCCAAGGGAGACCAGAGTGTTGATTCATTGTCACAAGTGAAGCTCAGCAGGGTTTCCTAACTACAGTAGGGTCGAGCCATCTGCTCCTCAGGACAGAGGATTAGTCACCCAAACATGCTGTTTCCTTTAAGTACACATTGCTCTCAGCAGGTGTCAGCTTCCTGGGCATCCTAGTATTTCTGTAGGCCGGAATCACTTGGTAGGGCAGGCACCTTTTGAGTATGTCTTGCTGAGGATGATCGCACATTTACTACCAGAAGCAGGGCGGTAGTGGGAGCCAGCACACAACTCATAGCTCCGGAACCAGAACAAAAAAATACTGACATCCACTACAGAATGTAGGAATTCTGCAATTTTAGTGTAGATAAGTTATAGAAAACACAATAACTTGACCATTTGAGCATACATTTGTATAGGCTTTATTTATATAAACATACTTTGAAGAAAAACAGTGTAGTTACGAAGCACAAATGGTAGCAACAGTTCTTTTAAACATGGAATTAGGCCGAATGAATCTAAATTATTTGCATTAGATTGCCAGGAATAAATGTGAATACCCAGCAAATGTGCAGGAACTCAGCACACCCATGAAATAAAATAGACCCTGTTTGTTTTTGAAGAATTTCCATGAGAAATTAGCACAAGCTATGAAATTCTCCAAGTAATTCCACTATGAATAGATGTGTTATTGAATGGCTAGACAAATATAAAAAATTACTAAGTCTTATGGAAAGCACTTGGGAAGGAAGGAAACACTTAATGCAGCTATAAAATACACAGCTATAGGCCCAGGATAAAGTTTTATTTAATACACAAATGGGCTTAAAAAATACCTTGCCAAAAACTTGAATTCCTCAAGTCACAGAAAAAGACTGCTTTGTACCACTTTTTGTAATGTGCATTATTTTGGCCCAGACAGAAATGGTCTTTTATTCTTACCAGTAACTACCTTTCTATATTTAATTACTTTTATTATAATTCTCTTTATTTTTAGTTTTCAAAAATTTACATGATTTCTTTTTATCTTTTTATGGTGTAAGACTGACAGTTCTTAAGGGAAAGGTTTATTGAAACACTGGAAAAAACAAAAATCCATAGAAATTTACCTTCAGTGTTTAAGTGATCATGTAATCAGTGAGAGCACATCTGGCTGAGAGTAGAGGAACATTGCGCATTTAATATTTATAATTTTAAAATGTCAACAAATGATAATTTTTTTTTGGCTGCTGGTTTCATAGCAAAGTATTCAGTCATCCTGAAGAGCTTCATGTGGCCTTTTATTCTTATTCAATGAAATTCTTAAAGGGATTTTAAAATCTTAAATGGCAAGGTTGAACTTCTGCTGAGAGAAAAATCAAGGTACAGACTACAGTTCAATCTGATGTTTTTTGTTTTTTTTTTTGGGCAGGAATTGTTTTCTTTCACCCCAGAGCTCTAACATTTTATACAGAAGGGATTTATACATAGATGTCATGTGGACATCCCTGCTTTCAGAGGAATGGGAATGCTAACTATGTAGTGAAAGTGGTAATGGGAAATATTACTAAAAGAATGAGAAACATATAGTCCGAAGAGAGAGAGAGAGAGGGGGGGGGGGGGGGGAAGAGGGAGAGGAGGAAAAAGCAAAGTAGATGTTATTGTTAGGCTAGTTTTTTGTTTGTTCTTATCAGAATATTAGAAGAATGCACAGAAATAAACATCAGGAGAAAGAAATTAAATGCATTTGAAAGATAGGAAAGAAAGAAAAATGGATTGAGGTTTGCAAATTTAATATTCTGACTTTCTCCTAATAAAGTTAGTCAAAAGAAACTTGGTTTAGTATATTTTATTTATCAATTTTTGTTTAGGAGAGACAGCTGGCTTTCTTTTCTTATTCAAAAAATTTCTGGTTGGGCAGGGTGGTATATGCCTATATTCCCAGCAGTTGGGAGGCAGAGGCAGGAGGATCACCAACTTAGAGGCCAGGCTGGGTTACATGGTAAGTTTAAGGCCAACCTGAACTACATACATAGCAAGACCCTGTCTCAAAAAATTAAAACAATAATTCTACATAATCTTTCCGGTGGAAAGTGAAGGAAAATATTATGTTCTATTTTATAGTTTATTACCAGAATAAAACAGCTACTCAAATCCCTGAAGGCTTTTGTGAAACAGAAAAAGGAAAAAAATAGACAGTGGGGATCGTTAACCTACAGGCAATATTTCCTGAGAATATCTTTCATTACTTTGCAATACTAGGATCAATTCTAGGAAAATATCTTAAGAAAACATATTAAACTTTGGACTAAGGCCAAAGAAACTCAAGATAGTAGATTCCACAAATGACTTGTCGACTTGAAAATCACCATATAATTTATTTCAGTTAGTGCTATGCCTTCAGGGATATGTTTGTTTTTATGTGTGCATGCACATGTGCGTGCATGTGTGTGTAAATACTAGTATTTATAGCTTCTTTCCAAATTGCACATTTCTCAGCCTTGGTATGTCAGACTAATTGAACATTTGAGTAATATTCACTTGCCATACAGTTGGTAAAGATAGTTGTTTTCATACTTTTATTATTGCTCTTAGGGCTAGAAAGTTAAAATGTTTCAAAAAATAGTAACATGTTTGCTTTCAAAATAATTCAATTTTGAAAGTTCATAATTTGTAAAATATTTGCATCTTTAATAATAGTTCTTTTTCCTATTAAAGGATGGAACTGGCTTCCAGGTGAAAATTAAATTGGCGTTTTCAAAATAAAATTTCCCACTTTCAAAATATAAACGTCATCACACAAATTCTAATATTGCTACTTTCACAAGTTGGAAATATCTTAACTTCTAGCACTGGTGTGTTTGGCGGAAGGCTTTCTGTAGTTTTTATGCCTATGTCTGCTTTCATCTTTAATGTCCTTAGAGTTGGAGCCCTGGAAAAGAATTGGAGGGAGTCAAGTCATTACTTGTTATAACAAGTAACAAGTCATTACTTGTTAATGCTCCTTGCTGCTTATAGAACTAAGTCCTTTCGTATGGAGCTTGCTGCTGGTCACGCTGGCCCCAGATGCTATGCAGTGTCTTGGCAGCAGCATTCTGACTGATCTTAACTCTACTGTCCAAATACTGAAGGTGAGGGGAAGAGCTCAGGGAGATGCTGGTGGTGATGAAGGAAGAAGAGCTCACGAGCTGCATTCCACTCTTGGAATAAAGTGGGCCTGTCATCCACTAAGAGGACAAGAAAATGCAGGGGTTACCTAGTTTCCTCTATATGGGTTCATTGTCAATTCCATCAAATTAATGGTTGGAAATATTCTATATTTGATCCGTGATCAGAGTGGTTATAACAGACGGGATTTTTGTAGAGGAGAGTTTTATTTATTTATTTTTGGTTTTTTGAGACAGGATCTCACTATGTACTTGAGACTGACCTGGAACTCACTATGTAGCCCAGGCTGGTCTCAAACTCACAGTGATCCTCCTGCCTCAGCCTCCTGAGTGCTGGGATTACAGGCATGCGCCACCACACCCGGCTGGAGAGGTTTTTAAATTGTCCTTCACAGATACAGAGGACACCCTGATGCAAGTACTGACATGTTAGTCTAAGACAGAGGCTCAGGTGATTCTAACCTCCTGGAGGATGGGGGAAGTAGCTGGGTTTCTACTTAATTTCTCAGAATGACTAATCTGAGGTGAGGCTTCAGTCAATATCAACTAGGGGAATGAACAGGAATAAACGAGACCATCATTATACTTCACTTCTGCATTTTAATACCTCCTGGTTCATATGCTTTGGTGATATAAATATGAATGGTAACATTTATTTTCATTTTGTGGTTTTACTATTTAATATCAACAAGATCCTGATTGGGGTCAGAAGGTACTGAGTAACTAAGGAGCTATTACTGCCTACATCCTGTTCTCTAGGGAAAGTTACTTTATGTATTTATTCTGAGAATACCAGAACTGCTCTTTGAAAACAAAATCTTGACAATAAGGGTCTGTTTTATTTAACAAAAAAAAATTAACTAGAGAAAGGAATTTTAATATATAGTATATCATGTCTTTAGTAAACAGATATTTTTTTAAATGAGGCAAAAATCCAAGTAATTTTTACTTACAGAAGCTATATCCTCCTATTTCCCACAGATTCTCTCTTTTTTCCAAGGAGATTAAGGGAAGAAAGAAGAGAGAAATCGAAGCAAAGAGATAGACAGAGAAGGAGAAATTTCTTTTTGTTAGAAAAGGATAGATATGTTCTATAATTAAAAAGCTCTCCAATTTATAGATGATAACCTCTTTAGAACAACAAATTGTAGGGTAAAATTTGGTGTAAAGCTAAGTTGGTTGAAAGGCTCAAAACAAATCTGTCATATAGCGACGTGAAGATAGGCTAAGAATCCCACTACTAAAGTGTCAGAACGTTGATTGAGAATTCTAGCTCTAAGTTTTCATAAATTGAGCCTAGTGTTAAATAGTAAAACCCCCACGCACAGTTTGAAGCTGCTTAATTCATGTTAATTCCCATGCTAATTATGAGGTAGCCAAGAATACCTCTAAGCATCTGCCAGTAGATAAAGCAAAAAGAAAGGGGGATAATTAAGAAAGTATCATTACTAACTTTGATAAATGAACTCCTAGACTGTACAGTACTTTCTGTTTCTATAACTTCTTGTGGGGAATCCTTGAGATGCGGGTGACACTTGTAGACTGTCCCACAGAAGATACTACAGTCTACTTTATTCATTCTAAGACTTTTAATGCGAAGTGCAGAGCTGCCTAAAAGAAAGGAGGCAAGTATTTGCCAAGTTTCACTTCTCTTCTAATACCAGTATCGCTTCCTTTTCTCAATCAAGAGCTGGCTGGTGCTTTCAGGTGCCAAGTGTAATGTGCCTGTGTTACTGAGGAGGCATTTTCTGTCCCAAAACCTCCCTTCCACCAGGATGTCCACCTGGTAAGAGACTGGCTAGGACTCGGAAGGAATTCCAGGCAGTATTTTAAGGTCAGCACTTGGCGTACTTTAGGCATCACTTCGTTTCTCTCAGCCTTATTTTTGTTTGAAATATATTTAGTGGCTTTTGGCAGACTGGTCATGAAACTATTGAAGTTTTCACTTCCTGACTACATTCTGCCATTTGATTAAAAAAAAAAGTATCTGCAGAAAGGTGATGGGAGGGTTGCTAGTGAAGCTCATTGAATTTCCTTGGTGTTTTAGGAGGAATAATTAACTGTGCTAACAAATTATATTCAGGGCATAAGAGGGACCTCACAGCCCCAACTCCCTGATCTGAGGATGCCAGAGAATGATGCTTTCTTCTTAGATGAAAAAAGAATGTGATCAACAGGCTGGCCACCTGGAAGACTACTCCTGGAATGGCACTGCAGAGATTTCCATTGTTTTGATCAGATGTGATTAGAAATCTAGTAAAATATCCTACAGCTGATTTTAAATTCTGGATGTTTTTGTCTGGCTGTGCCACTCTGAGGAATCACCTCATATGTCACCTGTCAAAATGTTCTTTTATTCTACAAGTTATGTATAAAAGTCACTCTGGTTATACATATTATATTAATAAATACCACTTTCTCCCTTCACCATCTGTAACTATGTTTCTCAGTATCATTTATGGTTCAATACTGCAAATATCTAGGCTCAATTCTTACAGAACATTGTCGTGCAGTGAATCTGACTCGATGGTGTTTCTTTGTCATAAAAATGTCACACACCCTCTCATTGTTAAGCACCAATAAGATATATTGCCATGCAAGAGCTCTATTTATAAAAATCCTTCCTAGAATTAACATATTCTTTGGTTTAATTTAAAATTAAATAGCAAATGAAACAAAGAGGATTTGAGGAGGATGAAAAGCAATTCAAATTCAAACAAGTGAGTCATTTCTATTATCCTTTCCACTCTGTCCCAAATAGTAGAAAAGGTGATTTGTGGGTTCAGTTAGCCCTGGTCCTAATTCTATGCTGTCTTCACCTAGAAAACTTGTCATAGTAAACTGTGTGTTTGTCTTTCTTCCAGACTACCACTTAAAACCTTTCTAGTAATCACTGATTATACAATGAATAAACAATGTGATAATTGCACCTTCAAGGTTCACACTAACACCATAACAGTAGACTCCTCTCAAGTTCCAGAGAGTCTGTTAGCACCTTTAAGCAGGTTCATCTCAAACGTGTAGAGAACATGCATAAAATAAGTACATTTCCATCTGTCCATGGCTCTGTCTGTGTAGATGTGGGTACATCATTGACTCCCCATGGGGAAGAGGAAATCTGTGGTCTGAATTTGTCCTTTGATGTATAGAGACAGGCAGAATTCAAATCAAAGTGTATTAGCACAGTTAGGTTCTCTGAGGAGCTTCATCACAGAAGTCCCCAATTTTCTGCTATCAGAAGCATTTCTGGTCCTGTTTTGGTCTTTTCTGAGTCACTTGAGAAAAAGGCTGACTCTGACTTGTGGTCATCATACCTCTGAGCTGTCCCCATGGTGGCTCGGTGGGGACATCATGGGCTTGCTGTTGCCTGAGCCCTTTGGGGCGCCCTTCCCCCCGGTGTTCTTCTTGCTCTTGCACATCATTGTTGTGACTACCGTGAGGCAGATGGTGAGCAATCCCACTGCAACGCCTCCCACGACAGTGACCAGGCTAAGCTCGGAGCTGGGACTGTTGAGCTCCCGTGGCAGGACACCATCAGAAGGAACTCTCCCTTGAGGAATCTGCCTCTTGGTGGTGCGTTCCAGGGCAATGTGCTGGATGTTTGTTCCTCTGTTGTTTTCAGCACCGATTTCCCATGCCAGTGGGGGCGTGCTCCTGATCTCCCTCTTCTTCCTGTTCTTGGTAGACTCCTGGGGCTTCCCGTGCCGCAGGAGAGTGTGGTGCTGGTACTCCACACTTCTTTTGCCAATGCCTCGATTGGTGTTGTCTTTCGATCTTACCGTATAAATGGTGTGTATGTACCATTCCCGGCCCAGAGCAACCTAGAAAACATAGTCCTATTTGTTAGGAAATTAGGTTCCATACTAACCAAATTCAGGACTATTTGCAAGAGAAACTAATGTCAGACATACTGAAAAATGACCATTTAATCTGGAGAATTAATTTACTCAGTATTTTTCAGTGTGTAGTACTTGCATGTCTTCATGTAAAGTACCCTGCAATATACATTGTGCAATTCTTAAGAAAATATATTCTGGTGAACATTTGGTATTTGCTGTCACAGAATGTGAGTGCCTTAAAAACCTTTTGATATGACATAGTCTAGCTTATTCATTTAAAAATGAGTAAATAAGAATAAACAACAATTCAGTGCCTTGCTCAGGCTTGCTCAACCAGTTAGTGGTGGAGGCAAGACTATAGCTCAAGCCTTCTGAACCTCAGGATTCTTTTTCCTTATGCGTTTCTGCTTATTTACATGTAAGATCACAGAGGAGGGACTGAGTTTTCAAGATTTTCCAGGGCCTGAGAAAAAACTGAATGTTTGGGTGACTCTGAAGACTTCAGGACTTAGAGAGGTCAGATATTTAAAAATTAATAGTAAAAATGAAAAAAAAATCACATTTAGACTTCTTGTTTGAGACGATGTAGAATAACAGGTCTGCTTTCTTAAGATTCCTTCTATGGACTGAAAATGAACTACACAGTTCTCTTACCTGTGTAAAATCCTGTCTGTATAATTTTCAGTAATCGTCCCTAAAGGGGTGCACTTGGTCCCCAAAGGACCTACAACCTAAGTGCATGTTTAAATGTGTTGAATTTTTCTGCTCAGTAGAACACCCTGTGCGCCTCTTCACTGCCTATCTCTGCTGCAGGATTTCCTACCTGGGTTTATGCAGTCTTAAGGAGTGGAGATTTTGCTTGCTGTGCACAACTGCTTTTTTGTACACATCAGTGTATACAAATCACACTGAAAGATGGTCATGGAAAGTTTCCAGGAAAGAAGTTTTGGATAAGAAAAACAAATTACTCATCTATTGTATTTTTGCTCTGGGCTGAATAATAGCCTTCGTTTTGCATGATCTTAAAATAACAAAAAATGATAGATAAAATTTATGGAATGCATTATTTTAATAAATGTTTCCATTTCCATATGCAATATTACTGTGACTCCATTTGAGACAGAAACTTGCATGTTGTCCCATAGATATTATAAGAGAACTTGTTTGGGGCCTACCTGAAAGAGTGGTGTTGAGTCAACTTTAAATCCGTCAGATCCAGGCTGATTCACTAGGAGAATGGCCTCAGGGTCATCCACTGCTAGTTTAGCATTGAACAGGACATTTCCAAAACTGGTGGCCTGTGTCTCTGGCTGAGCTTTATCCTTTAAGCATCAAGCAAAATGATGATTGATATAGATAATGCCAGCTTTTGCAAGAGCAGAATGTTTTGCTGTTAGTATTGTACAAATACAAATTATCACAAAATTTCACTATGCAATGCTTTAATTTAAAATGATGACTAGTTTTAAAACATAAGAAAAAAAGGTTAATTGTGAAAAACATATGCAGTTTACTGTTTAGGTCAAAGCACGTACCACAATTTTAAATCTATACAAGAGTGAAGGAGAATCAGCTAGGCATCCGTACTCCGCATTTGTTGGGTTGTATTTGGGAACGTAGCCATCAGCTCCAGTGCAAAGGAAAACCTTCTCAATGCTGCAGTAGAAGGAGTCACCTAGATTCTGGACCGGGTCTACCATGACACGACCATAAATTGTATCGCCTGAAACAGATGCGGAAATGTTGTTTCTGTTACATGACAGAGTGTTTCCGCTGTAAACAGTTGTAAACAGTTTTGACAATGATGACAAAGATTCTTTGCTTTGCTCTCTAATCTGTCATCAAACGTGGAAGGCCTTTTTGTGAGAACTGTAGGAACTGGTCCACCCATCAGGCCATAGATGAAATCACTTTGAAGATAGGCTGTGGGCTGAGGAGTTATGGAGTCTCATATGCTCACACACTGTGGGAAAAATAATTCCAAAGTCTAGCCTATAATTTGACAATCATAATATCCCTTGTGGTTAAAGCCCAGTATACTTTAATTAATTAGTTGGTGAGATGTAAACTAACACACTATAAAGTAACACCTAGAAAGAAAATATGAATAAAAAGCTTAATTAGCAGCCAGGTGTGATGGCACATGTCTGCAATTCCAGCACTTGGGAGGCTGAGGTAGTAGGAAATTGCAGCAAGTTCAAGACCAGCCTGGAGTACATAGTGAGACTCTGTCTCAAAAAAAAAAACCAACAAATAAATCCTAATTGTTCTAGTTACTTTTTGAAAGAAGATTTTAATAAAGCCCCCTGGAATTGGAGCAGGTATTTCACTGCTATTACCAAACACTTTGGGTCTGCTAGATAAAATATCTAAGTGCTAGTATACACCAAGTGAAAAACAGGCATGCTCTTTGTCTAAGAGGCATTTGCAATCTCATGTAGCTGTGGTATTTTAGTTCATGAAAATTGAAAAGCAAGCCAAAAAATTCAAGAAAAAATTCTCAGATGGGTTCCAAAAGTCACTTGGGAAAAAGAGACAGAGGTTAACTTTCTCAGAATAACAAAATAAAAGAACAAAACAAAAACACATCAAAGAACATACACCCAATTTCAATGACTCCTCATTGGATTTTAAAGTGATAGAACCATAGAAAAGGCTATAAATTTCTCCCTCATACACAAACACAACAAAAGTAAAGCACCACAGATACAAGAAACAAAATGAGCAACCCACTCATCTGTGAAGTGATACCTTCTGCAAAAGCAACATCACTCTCTTGTCCAAATCCCATGGATCCATCCGACAGCCAGAGACTCTTCTTGGAGAGTAGGTACATCTGGGTGTTCAAGCTAAACTCAGCTGCCACTGGATCACTGACCTAAAACCGACGGTAAAGCCCTTTTATGTGTGATTGATGATTCTGAGGGTACACAAGCACACACTGAACTGCTCGCAGAGAAGCACACATTCACTGCATATTAACACAGAGATTACTAAAAACACCGCACAGCAAGTGTCCAGCCAAGCCAACTAGGACACGCTAAGATCAGTTGTGTCCTTGAGAAGGCAAAACTTCATGGAGTTAAGTAATTTTTTGAATGGGACTGAAGAGCATCGCTCCAGTTCATTTCTGCTAGTTTTCGTGGCATACTAAGGGCTTGTAAATATTGTGGTCCATGGAAGTTAACAGGGTGGGTTCTCAGGAAAAGAAGCGATGCTTCTTTTAGTACATAATTAAAGGTGGTTTGAACTATAGGATTCTCATCGCTCTTGAAGATTAAGAACAAGATAAAGAAGTGCAAGAGAACTCTGGGGAAAAATCTTGCATCTGTAAAGCAGCAAACTGAAGGAAGCAACAAGAGGGAATCAGATAAGAGAAAAATAAGCCTTGCATGAACTTAAACTATAGGTTTTGTACCTTGAACTATCCACAGATAAAAGACAGTTCTTTCCTCTTTCCCTTACTGTCTCTCTGACTTCCTTTTATGCTCAGCGTATGAGAACTGAAGTCCTTCATGTGTGGAAGAAAACTCACTGATCGAAGTAAACCGTGACTTTAACAAAGTGGGATTCCATAAGTAATGGATAATAATTCTATGAGACACACCTGTTGGAATCGAATGTCAAGGTCAAAGGTGACTGGCTCTCTAGGGTTGCAGGTGACTGGGAGGCGGTACTCCTGACTGGAAGGTGTGGTGCATGGCACCAGCTTTACAGTATAAGTTCCTGAGTAGTCACGTATCTCGGAGGAAGAGAGAAGACATTTATAATTTTCACTTTAAAATCCGAGGCACAATGGGAGGGCAGCAGAAAAGGAAAACTGAGTAAGTCTTATCACTTACTGCAAAGTCAGAGACAAAGCTCCATTGCTGGATAGGTTGGTTATAGGTTGGTTCACTTCTTATGAGGCGGAGGGAAAAAGTCAGGCCGGGATGATCAGCCGACATAATCATGGAGCTGGTAAAGGAGGCTAGAAAAGTGGCAACAATCATGACAGTATAGTGGTTAAACTGGAAGAACACATAACCATTTAGAATTTTCAAAGTGCCTCATCATATGTCGTTTGCTTTTACTCTTATATACCTCAGAGTTGACAAGGTTGGTATAATTATTCTCCTTTGGCAGATGGAGAAACTGGGCTGAGAGTCAATATGTGACTCTCCCAAGATCACACAGTAACTCAGTGCCTTTTCTGTTCTGTAATTCTTTCAAAAGGTAATTGGACAGAAATGCTTAACTTGCTCAGGGCCACTTTCCAGGGAGTCAGAGTAGGGCAACAGCAGTAGAAGTGAATACATTTATTGTGCATCAAAGCTATGAATTGAACTTAAAATAGTCTATTAGTATCCCCACAGCTGAGCCAACCCAATTTATAAATGGAATTTAATTTTAATTAGATTTCCTGCAATTGAAGTTTAACAAAGATTTAGTTTATTAGAAAGGTGAACATGCAGAAGGGACTGTAAAGACCAGGAAATCCTCATTTCCCAGAATTGTCAATTACTATAAAGTAAAACGATTCCTTTTGGGCCTGTAATTCTTGTAGCTCAGTCTCATGAAAATACAATGGACTCTTTTTCTCTTTTTAACTATTCAGCTTTATTCTCATCTTCCTTAGAGCTCATGCTCAGAAAAAATGAAGGATATGGATATGGCAAATGAACTATTTTCCCTTTTTAATCTGACAGTTGGCACTCCAGTAAAAGTGCAAACCAGTTTAGTAAGACAGAAAGTCAAATACAAAAATCGCAATGAAACGCCTTGTATAAAACAAGCAAGCATGGAAATTTATGGATTACTATTTAAAAATATTCTAAACAGTGTGTCACAGTGAGTAAAACTGCCTAGCCAGTCCTTATTAAACACAGCTAGTTTCCAAGACTGAAACGTCAGTATGAAAGTCAAGTGCCACTTCTGAGTCTATTTTGAGTCTATTCTTACAGAACCTAGAAAAGAGCTGTGACCAGAGAAGTGCTTGCTAAATTAATCATTTGATATTCATTTTTTGGTACAATAGAAGCAAAACAGAGGAACTGTTATTACTACATTCTCTCTGTATGAACTCCAGGGTTTCTTTTTACACGTCCTTGGTGATTCCACATTTTCTCTAAAAGTCCACATAATAATAATTTTGTGGATGATGAGACATAGGTAAATAATTATCAAGCCCTCAACAAGATAATTGCACATATAAAATTCATTTGACAGGAATGACTTCAAAGCTAACTAGGAAGCATGTTGAAACATGTATGAGAATGGAAACACTAAAGGCTTGTGTTGGTAGTTCCTGTTAGTGGACAAAGGGGCTTACCAGGGTGTGACAGCACAAATAAGCCATGGAACTGAGCCTCTGTCTTAAAGTTCACGGCCAGGCGCCCCTCTTCACCGATGCGCATGCTTGTTGGATAGAGAGAACCTACAAAGGGTGCAAATACAGGTGACTACAGATTGCTAATATACAAATGCTTCCCCCAAATTAATTCAGATCCATTTCATCTTTAAGCATGCTAGGCAAATGATATTATTAAAAGAAATTTGAATAATAAAAGTGGCAGAAGTTTCTTTTTCTAAGGAGAAAAGATGTCTATAAGGGAGGTAATATGAATTAGTTTGCTGTGAAATACACAGATTAATTACAATAGGCCGTTTTTTTAAGCTTTAGTCTACAAATATGGAGGTATAAATTGAGAGACATGATGAAGTGGTCAAAAGTGTAGAGGCCTGGACATGTAACTGGAACTGGGCCTGCATTTTCCAGAATGACTGCAAATTTTACAGGCTTAAAGAAAAGTAAAACTTTTCCAAGAAATGTTAGGAGTTAGACAACATTTAGCCCTGGATAAAAGAAGAAAATAACAGATCCTCATTGCAAATGTTGAGGAACACAGAAAGGATCCTTATTAAGATTTATTTAAAAATATGTCTTCTTTTTTTTTTTGTTGTTACTGGGGATTGAACTCAGGTCCTTGTGCTTGCAAGGCAGGCCACTGAACAGCTGAGCTAAATCCCCAGCTCAAAAATATGTCTTCTAAGGTGAGATGTACAGTTAAAATACTTGACGTGATTTGGAATGATTGTATAGGATGATCATACTACTTGTCACACGGTCTAAGGTAATTTAAACCTTAGTTTCATATTTGAGATGTGCTATCAATATAATTTTTTTCTAGTTAATATATGTACAGATGGCACAATGCTGTAGATATTCATGGGAACAATAGTAATATTGTATAAGGATAAAAAGAAAAATCACTCGTTGTACAATTGGATTAATTAGCTTTCAGCTCATGGACTCTGAATTAGGATTTTGATGCAGAGTTTCAAACAAAATTTTGTAGAGCCTTTGGACACCGCAGTTAGTAGCATTCATGACAAGTTATTAAGATATTTGACTAAAATATCACAGAATAACAGAATTTTAAATTGGAAAGAGATACTGGAAGTTTGTCTATAATGCAAAAAAAAAGTAAGTACCAGAAATGTTAAGTAACATGCTTGAGATCACATAGCTACTTAGTTGGAGAGTCAAAACTACTATACAGGACATAGTTTACAGTAAATTTTACCATGCATCTTTCATTTTAAGAAAGAAAAATGTGTAATTTTCCCCTTTGTATCAATCCCTTATTTTCAGTTGGAATTTCCCCTATCCATTTTCTAGAACCCATGTAGATTGTAGATAGTTGTGTATCACCTACACGATTAATTGTCTAAGGTGAACTGTTAGAGAAAAGTATTCATGAAATATATAAAGTTATATTTGACAATCCTGTACTATACAAATTTTAAGGCACTGATATAATTTCATTTAACAAGAATTTTCCACAACTAAAGTGAAATTATTTGATTAATAAATAGAATAAGAAAATATATTGCACGTTGCTTCTATTAATTTTTGCTATCATCAAAAAAAATTCTCTTCAGTAATTCAAATAGGTAAGAAAAATCTTTTCCATTCACCTTGGAGTTCAGCTTCCGGTGGGCTGCCAATCCCGTCATTCCACAAGATGGCAGTGTCATACACAAAAGTCAGACGGAGCTCTGACTTCAAATCAAAATGCTGCCAGCCTCCTACTCCAACTGGGGAATGGAACACATAGGAAACATACAGAGGAACTCGCAGGGTCACGTAGGACTGCACTAGGTTTAGGACCTAAAACAATAAAATTAAATCTGTCAATACTATTTGTTGTTAACTCAATGAACCTGAGTTTGTACAAGCTGTTTTCTCATCCCATTTAACTGAAAATTTTGAGTAATCAACGAGGAAAGGGAAATGATAGCATTTTTACAACACTACTTTCCCTCACTTAATTTTGGGTCAATTAAATTATTGTTACTAGCTAGCTTCACTTGCAGCAAAGGATATGCACCAGCAATCCTTAAGATAAACAATATTTTAATCATACTATGCTTAAATTCTATTTACTTTATGAATTTTATTAAGCTATAGTCCCATATCATATAATTCACCTAAAGTGAATTCAGTGGGTTTTAGCATAATAAAAGAATTATGCAACCATCACTGCTGTCAATGTTAGAACATTTTTATTACCCCCAAAGGAATCCCATATCCACTAGCAGTCACCCACTATCCATTCTCCCCATATTCCCTGGAAACTACTAGTCTACTGTATGTCCCTATGTATTTACTTCTTCTGGACAATTTAGTCTGTTGCTAGTTTGGGGCTACTATGAAAAATTCTGTTATTATATAGAGAGATTAGACAAGCAGTAAAGATCTGGAATCAAATATATTTAGTAATGACATGTCATATTTAAGATGATTCAAGAATAAGTAATTGAAGTTTCTTGCTTTGAATTTTATACCTTACCCCTCCAGGTACAGAGCAGATGGATTAGGGATTAAACTAATATTTGCTTTTTGAGCACAAGCTACATTCCAGACAATGTATTACATTTACAATCAAAACTATTTAATATTTTCACTCATATTTATAAGTGTCTTTAGTTATTCAGCCATGGCTGCCCCAAAACCTCAAACTGATTCAAAACATTTACCTTTCACGACCATTTTGACTTTGGGGAAGAGCCAGAGACATACAATATCAGATCCAGTGAATAAAAGAGAATGAAGACATACCATGTTTTTACAAGTCCACTTTTTCGTGGGATGGCACTCAGTAGCAGCATTCACCATTTTTTTTTAATCACACCACATAAAGAGGACTCATGAAAGTGGACTTACAGGATTGCTTCAGAAAGTGTCAAGAATGCTAGGATAATTGTGTCTGAGGTGAGGGGGAGTTCCTTGAGGGGATTCATGGCAATGTGCTTTTACTGAAATAAAACGTTTCTGAGACAAAGTCTTACTATATAGTTCAGGTTGACCTGGAACTCACAATGTAGACCTGGTGGTCTTGAACTCAAAGTGATCCTCCTGCCTCAGCCTCTGAGTGCTGAGTGCTAGGATTACAGCTGTGTGCTACCACTCCTGGATAAAATGTTTTGATTGGGTGAATGGACAGAAAGACAGGGACAGGCAAATTAGATCTCAAATAAATTTCTCACATAAATCTTTAATGTAAATCATTGGCCCCACCAAAATTAGAACCCTGTTTATGGTCTATATATTTTCTTCCTCTAACATATTTCATTGCATTTCAAACAAAGCTGAGGGCAGTCCTAAGGTCATCTAACAAAAATGATCATTAATTAATTGTCAAAAATATCTCTGAAGATAGTGGAACAGATACAACCAGTCTCTTACACACAAGAGGAGATGGGTGTAGCTCAGATCACACTCCTTAGTCCTAGCCAGGCTGTCTCACCAGGGCTCGTTCCACATTGAGCAGACAAGAATCAGATACATGAGTCAGCAAAACATTTACATCCTGCGAAGTCTACTCATGCATATCACACCGTCTATCATGGAGTTAGAAGTGAACTCCTCCAGCCATAAAAGTGATGACGCGAATCGCCAAAGAAAATATATAAAATGGGAGCCATCAAGCGAATTACTTGATTCCCAGCTGTGTACAGTAGCTATCACTTGCCATCTCCGGCTCAACCTAGACAGCAGGAAAGGTACCCTTCAGTGCAAGTCCTCTGAGACCGTGTTTCCCAAGAGTGGCTGCTATTACTGTCACTGAGTAATTGATCCTGAAATGCAGCGTTAATGTTCTGGCAGTGTAACGGTCAGTGACTAAGTCAATCCGCTGTGTCGCTGGTAATTAAGATTCATATTTCATCCTGTGAGAAGCCACTGTTGTTTTTTACAAAAAAGATTAAGTGTTAGTAGCAATTAATACTTGATGGCATGGAGTTTTGACTAAACTTTAGATTTTTGCCAATGTTCTACTTTATCCATCAAATATTACTGAGTGTACTAGTTCACAGAGGATTACTAAAATTCACTTCCTATGAATAAGTAAATTGGAATAGAGCTGCATGACTAATTCTTTGACTTCCTTTAATTGTTTTACTAAAGCAGAATTTGATCATTTCAGGACATGAAGTCAGCATCGCATTGCATTTTCTTATAATTCTGGCCCAGGTTGTCTTTCTAACTACCGAGAATCCCTGCATAAAGGAACTGAAGCCTAAACAGAACAGCCTTGATCATCCAGAGACTCCACCTAGCTGTTTCTTTCTTCAAAACTGAAGAATGAAAAGCAATCAGTCTAACTCCTAGCTGTCACCTTAAAGGGTGCACAATGTTCTTTCAGTCTGTACACAGGACATTTAAAGGTATTTGTTGATAGTAAAATAAATATATGGTGGATCTTTTTAACTGAGACAATGAATGACTTCACCAGTTCTTATTGATGCTTTTAATTTCTTCAATAAAGACAAACAGTGCTTTAAATACTATATTTAAAGTGAAAGTATGAAATGCAATGCTCTGGAAAAGGTAATAACATTGTCAACTTTATATGACTAAGTAGCAAGTGTATATTTGGGAATGATACTGTTTAAGGTACAGAAGAAAGGCTATCAGTGGGTATGTGAATTAGATAGGGAAGGGGATGAGTAGAAAGAAAGCTTATGTACCTTGAAGAAAATGACATTCAAAATGTTTTATATAGTGGGAAGTAATGTTGAGAAAAATCCAAGTAGGCTTAATTCTTCACTTAGTTTGGGCATATAATTGCAGCTATCCAACATAGATACCACCCTCTATCTCTCTTCTCTTCCCTCTTCCTCTCTCCTTCTCTTTATTTTTGCACTGATGGGGATCGAATCCAGGGCTTCACACATGCTAAGCGAGTGACCTATATCCCTTGCCCTATATTGAATTGATGTTTTAAAATTCAAATAGAAATAAGATAGTATATGTATCAAGACTAACATCTAAATTTCTATACCAGTGCTATTCAGCAGTAATATGAACCACTCATGCAATTTTAGATTTTTTTCATAATCACATGTAAAAACATAAACAAAAAAAGGTGAGGTCAATATAAAATATTTGATAAAATACTGTACAGTCTTTGAAATCTGGTATGTGTTTACATGTCCACACTTCTCCATTCTACCAGCCTCACTTTTGAGGGCTCGACAGACTTAAATGTCTGGTGGCAATCAGATTGGACAGCACAGATCTAAACTTCTGTACTCAACATCTTTTAACTCAAACATGCATATTAAAAATAAGAATCATTAAAACATTTTTTCGGCATGTGTACATCTCACAGTTATACAGAATATATGGTTTTGTTTATTTCACAGATTAAAAATGAAGGCAGAGCTGTTAGAATTTTATCTGCGGGCAAAGACCTCTGGGTATTTTCCACTGGTTGAAATGTCTTTCTGTTGCTGCTTTTTATTTTTTATTTTTTGCCAGAAATAACTACTTCTTCGAGATAGTGGTGGCTGTGAATGTGTAGTGAAGGCTCATCCATCATAATAGCTTCAAATCTCAATAAAGCATGCACTTGGCTACTTAGTTGAGATCACTGTTTCAGCAAGTCCTTCAAGTAGCACATGTCCAGGAACACTTGTGAGAAAGTGATGGTGGCTTTTGCTCAATTACCAGCAAGTTTGAAGGTGTAGGTATAGGAGAGGCAGGAGTAGACTCTGGGATGAGGGTCAATATTGGTCCAAAAATTCCTTAGAATTAAGAATGACTGACTCTATGGGATATTTATAGTGTCAGGTTTATAAGTAATCCAAGTGACCAACAGTGAAAAGTGAACTGTGATGGCACACTTATAAGGTAGAATATCTTATAGTTGTCAAAATCATAAATCTGAAAACTTTTCCTTGTCATGAAAAATGCTCACTTGTTGAGTTAAAAGGCACTATTCAGAATATTATAAATGATATTGTGCCACTACTCTTAAAAAGTATGTGTATATTGAAAAGAGATTAGAAAATAGAAAATGTTATTTTCTTTTAAAAAAACATACTATTTTGATTCCCTAGATGTCTACAATATTATTTTCATTTAAAAATACCCATTATTAAAAATTAATTGGTGATCTTGAGAAGATAGGAAGCAATATACTTTGTGAAAGTTATATATTTTGGATTTCTCTTGCTATTTCTTGTGCAATGATTTATAGTGGTTTACACATAACAAGAAATTACTCAGGGTAAAATAATGGTAGGAAAAAAGTGACTTCTATTCTAACCTCAGAATTCATGTTGGTAAATCAAATAAACTAGTAAAAACAAGGCAAAATTACCCCTTAAACAAAGCAGCTAAGAAAAAACACATTTTACTTTCCAAAATCATACATTTTACAAGTTCATGACAATTTCATGTTTTAAATGCAGCCCATATTGAGGTGTATCAATATCTGCAGCTTATTCAAGCACAGGAACAATGTTATCAGTTGCTGTTTAAATAACAAGAGAGTTAAGATTCTTATCTCACATACAAACAATAAAAAGAGCAATAAATTTTCTTAAAAAAACTTGTTTTTGAGAAAAACAGTAAAAACCCAATATTTAAAAAAATTGTTAGCTGTAATAACCATCTTGCATCAAAAGTATTTTTCATTGCAGGAATGCCTTTAATTTTTAAAAATAAAGCAGAACATACCATAAAGGTGCAGTGTAATTACTTACTGAATCTATATTTTGTTTTCCTGCTATTCATCGGATTTTATATTTTAGTAATTAATTAAATTGACTTTAGAGTTAAATGGCATTAGCAAATTTCCAAATATCTTTTTCTTGGAAAGT